CTAGCCTAGACTATGCTCAAATTGCCATGACGGAGAAAGATTCTTGAGAGCAAGAGTTGCCACATGCCTGTACCTCCAACAGAGCAGGGTTCTTTCTACTCCCAATCCCATTGACCTGGTGTCGTGGTTTAAAAAAGAGTCCTCCACATGGGGTAATATATTTGAATGCTTAGTCACCACCAAGTGGCACTATTTGAAAGGATTAGAAGGATAAGAAGGTGTGGCCTTGTTGGAGGAAGTGTGTCACTAGGGATGGGCTTTGAAGTTTCAAAAAACTCATGCCAAACCCAGTCTCTCTCTCTCTGTCTCTCTCTGTGTCTCTGTCTCTCTCTGTATCTCTGTCTCTGTCTCTCTCTGTCTCTCTGTCTCTGTCTCTGTCTCTCTGTCTCTCTGTCTCTCTGTCTCTCTGTCTCTCTCTCTCTGATCAGGACATAGGAGTCTCAGCTGCTTCTCCAGCATGATTCCTGCATGCCTGCCACCATGATCCCTGCCATGATGATAATGGATTAACTTCTGAATCTCTATACAAGCCCCCAATTATATTCTATCTTTTATAAGAGTTACCTTGGTCATGGTGTCTCTTCACAGCAATAGAACAATGACTAAGACACTTGGGTATATAAAATAGGTACACTACCAAATATTTATCCACAATGAATAATAAAGAAGTTTATCTTAAAACAATTCTTTCCTATGCATAATGTGATTTTATTTTTAAAATGAAATAAATTTTGCATAATGAGATTGATGTGTTCTATTAATATTATGTATAGAACTAAACTTTTTCTAAAATATATGCTACAGTGTGGAATTAGAGAGCATTGAATGTTTTGGAGAACTGAATGATACTTTGATTTAATAATTATAAATGCTGAGAACATTCCTTGCATAAATACATAGTACAAAATGGCAGAAGGCTGTTTAGAGCCATTTTAGAAATTGTGGGAAATTCTGTCCTATTTTCAAGCCAAAATTCATTGAATGATTTTTTTTTATAAAACTCAAGTCAGCAAGTCAAACATCAGTTTCTAAGATCAAATGTTCTAACAAAACATATCCGAATATAAACTATCTGATACTTACACACTGAGGGATGATTGTAGGAAAGTGTAGAAAGTTTTATACCCCGTAATGAAATTGTTATGTTTCTATAAAAGCAGGAAGCCTTCTGTGTACAGTCATTCTCTCTACTTCATGACACACAATAGTCCCATAGCATTCCGGGGTGGTCCAGGCAGCATGCTCTGTCTTTGCATCATGAGCTTGATTCATGGTGAGAACCAATGTGAGGTCATATGACAAAATTCTGGTTGAGGGCTGCCACAACACTTTGAATTCCATTACATGCTTGACTTGTAATTAAGTTTTCGTTATTATATATTCAGAAACCTTTTTACTGTTTCCAGATTTTTGGTGATTCCCACAGCCACATGACCCCATGTAGAGTCATAGCCATTGTTTAAGAAGTGGGGAGCAACAGTCTTCAGTCTACAAGATTTCTCTTCATGGTCCTTAAGGGGCTTCAGCTGGATTTCCTCTGACCCTTTCTTAAGACACAGAGCACCAAGCTTGTAAGTGGTTTTCTAAATTCTCATGATGTAACACATCCCTACAGGAAATGAACAAATTTACTCCTCTGGGAACCTGCCTAAGGATTGGCACATTCCTAAAATCCTAGAGTTCTGGATAGAGAGGAATGGAGTTCAAGGCCAGCTTGAGCTATGTAACCAGTTCGTGTATTAAAAGAATATGGTCTAGCATAGAACTCAGTTTTATACTGCTTGCTTAGCACTCATAAGACCTCATGTTCAGTGTCTAGTACTAGAAAGGTAGAAAAATGAGAGTACTGAAGAGGATGAGCAGATTAACTGCCCACCGAGTAGTAACTGTCACTAAATACATGTGTTCTAGAAACTGCTCTCCTGACATGGGAAATTGTTCAGGCCTTTTCAATCACAAAGAGGGTCTGTTAATCCTGAGTGTCTTACCTTTACAGTATAATGACTACATACTTTCACAGTCAGGTGGTAGTGACATTCAATCTGTCCTCAGGTGGTAGCAATGAATTTGCCGCAAACTGACTCTCTTCCATTTCAGTATGGAATGTGAGATGAACAGTGATGTAGTTGGATCTCATGGCCATGGTCCTTGGCATTAGGTCCTCAAAGAGCCTCTGGTTGTCTGGTTTTGGTGTGAGTAGACCTGGGGTAACCCACCAAGCCCACATAGTCAAACCGATGTGCAGCTAGAGACCAATAGATAAGGGGAGACAGGCTGAACTCAGCAGCGGGGATTTTTTTAAAAAGGAAGTAGAGAAACCAAACGCTGCCCAAGTCTTGCTTGTAAGTCACCACCTGCCGCTGGACAATGCTCTGGGGAGACTTACGGGAGGCTAAAGGGTTTTCAGCTACAATGCTGTGATATTTGTTAGCAAATGGGGCGGGACGTGAAAGAATGTCAGTCGTGAAGTCTGTGTTAGCTGGGACACAAGTGGGAAGGGCAGCTGCCCAGCCTTCTGCAATCATTAAAATTAATATGGAAAGAAGGGACAAGGGTACATATCAATTCTAGTCGGAAGGAGACCTTTGTGTGTTAAGCTACTGTCTCTGCGGTAAGTAGAAACATAATGTGATGTCACCTTGTATCCTGTCAGGGGTTTCTGAGTTCTAACCTCATTGTTTCTCAGCAGCAACTGCTTTTCTTCCTTCGCTGCAATTTATTTTCCTTTCCCCACACTTCCCAGTGTGGCTCTGGGCTTCCCTAAGCTCTGTGCATCTGCAGGCACTACAGGGTCCTGGGAGGCTGCAAGCCAAATTCATGCCTGCATCTCACCCCCTGTGACCAAAAATCATGACATTTGACACTCAGACCCCGCACCTGCAACACAAGAATGAGAACAGCTCTGTCCCCACTATGGGTGACTCCGTTCAAAATATGATCAATGAAAAAGGCCTGGGAAAGCAAAATAATGCAACTCGCTCCTAGAAGCTCTTCTATTGTTAAAAGCATTGCTGAAGACAAAGGGGCCGCCAAACAGAAGCTGCTCTCCTCTGACCTCAGAGCCACGGGGGGGGGGGAACCCTGCTTCCCTTTTCCCTCCTGGCTGTGCCATTTGTAATTCACCAGTTTCACTCTGATGATACCAGGCCAGGAACTGAATTTTCCAGGAAGTGAACTTTTAAACACAGCATGACCAAAGGCCTCTCCACATGGCCTGAGCAGGAGCTAAAGATAGGTCTATGCTGTGAAATATACTTAAGTTTTTGTCTCTCCCTTGAGAATGAATTAATATGAATAGAGAGGTTTTGTATTCAAATTATCTAAAACAAAATATTCAGAAATTCTGACATCATAGAAGCTTTGTGTTAAAAGTGAAGCCTTTTAAATGAGATGTGGTCAAACCACCTTCTAAACCCTCATGTTTCTAACCATAGATTCGTGCTTTCCTTATCCTTCGTCAGAGAAGTGTCTTATTACAGCCTACAGTAGTAAAAATGCACAAAGCTAGTCAGTGTGGAGAGGTAAGAGGAGTGGGGTGCTTAGCCCAAAGTGGGTTATCCACAGTGCTCTGAAGGTCTATCTAGAAAAAGAATGGAAAGACTGGAAGGGTCAGAGTACGGCGAGGTATGCTGTAAAGACTTCTCTGGTAACCGTTTGGCCTTTCGTTCAGTGAACCCACTTCAGATATAGGGGCCTGCCCAAGAGTGTGCCTGTCAATATTTTATCATGGAAGAAGAAACGGCTCATGAGGCCCAACTCTTCCTGAGGGATTATTGACATTTATGATACTTAGGGAAGAATACCACACTCTTCAGTCCTGTAGCCACTGATTGGTTGGCTATGATCCAGTAAACAGCCTTTGACCCATGCTTATGTGAACAAACCTAATTAAACTCAGAACAACACACACATACCATGAAAATAGGAAGGGACTTCTGGGGAGAGGGAGGAGATGACAAGAGGAGAGACTGGCGATAACAGGAGGTAATGGAGGTGAGGATGACTAAAATTCATTGTATACATGATGACACTGTCAAATAACAAAAAGTAAATTTAAAATATAAAGCAACCCAGTGAAGAGGGAAATTTCAAATAAAGTTTTAGTTTAAACTTTTAAAGTAAAATGCCCAGGTTAAATTGCTTGTCAAGTAGGAAACAATCTTAATTGAAGCTGTGGCAGAAGTTGTGAATCAATTAAGAACAGCAAGGTAAGACTTGCTGTAAGACTAACAAATTTCTCTCTGTTTTATGTCAAATTTTACATATTCTTTAGGCTTTTGCTCAATTCTAGGAATGTTATTTACCTTAACACCTATGATCTAGTCTTGGAGTCTATGCTGACTTTCATTTTTAGTCACAAAACTAAAATTTCATCTGACCCATCAGAGAGGTATTTATAAAATAAGTACATTTTAATGGAGGAATCTTAGATTCCACGAAGTCTGGCAATTTCATTTAATGAAGATGGAATCCATGAGACCTGTACTCATTATTTTAATAACATTATTACTAAATCCTAGGGACACAGTCTGATACATTTTCTGTCTTAGAAATATTTGTGCTGTTTGGTTTAGGATTTAGTCATTTGTTCATTTCTAGGATAAATATATCATTAGGGAAGAGATAGAAATATAATTTTGACACCAAAATACCAGAGAGAAAATAGGTTTAGAAGTAAAACTATGGTATATTATGAATAATTAAGCAATTTTGTTTTCATAATTACATCCTTGCAAATGTCTGCACAAGCCCAGAGAGTTTCCTCCTACTGTCTGAGTGTTTGGTGGTAGCAAGGACCCTGGTTTCAGCCCATAACCTGCTGCTGGGGACATGGGAGCACTTTCTGAGTCCTAGTCTTACAAAATTAAATGAGAAGATCAACTTATTTCTGAAAGCCTCTTCTACGTCTCCCTTGAGGAAGATCTATTAGTATGGGTGTTTTTCACACATACATCTACTCAGTTCTACAAAGCACAGCTGCTATGGGTTTTTCGCCTTACCAGAATGGTTGACGGCTTGCTGGAAGTTTTCATTTACTGAGACACTATAAAAGAAGCAAAAGCATTATAAGCTCAACACCGTTATGTAAGTAAATTATTACCAAGTTGCTTTTATAATTAAACTGAACAGAAAATCAGATTTAGATTTTTATTGAGAGGACTTTTAAAGTAAACACACAGTTGGCTCCAAATAGCATTCATTCTATTTTTGTGGTTTTAAATTGACATATAGTTTTTGTAGTAATATAGTAATCCTTCAAGTACCTAGTTAATATGAAAATCTACACCTCTGCCACCCTGGTACCCAAGACTGGGAGCTCACCCCAGGGAGGGTTATAACCCACATTATTTTCATGGAGCTTTGCAAGAGAAATGAATACGGCACACACACATGCTAGAGTAAAATAAAACACCACTTACAAGAATCCAGAGTCCAGCCACTGCTGGATACTCTCCTGTTTGGAATTTTCTATAAAGGAAAAAGACATATCTGTTAGTCAAAGCACAACCAGCTATAATGACCCTCTCTGTCACCAGCCATACTCAGCAGCTCTGTTTCCTACTTAGTTAGTCACATGTTCTTGTAAGCATATTCATTTTTCTCCTGGAGGCACAACCTCCTGTTTCCCGTAATCAGCCTCTTCCAAGAATGGATGTAAACTTGCCAAAAGACCATGACTTAAGAAAAAAAAGGACAAATCTTAAGTACTAGCAAAATGAATCAATGAAGGGTGAGAGGTGTTAGAATGATGATAAAATTACCTCGAGTGAATACAGTGGGTAGAAAAGCTTAAGAGGTTTTTGTTTCTCTCTTGTTGGTTCTAAATCACCACGGAACCTCTCCTTATTAAATCCCAACATTTACCTAAGGCAGCTAGCCAGCAATGTTTATTTGCAACGAGTTCTCTGCCAGGTTAGAAACCAGATTTGCATTCATTCCAGGGACAAATTGCAGTGGAGTCCCAGGATTGCCAAAGGCAACCTGTGCTAAAAAAGACGCTGGCCTTTTAAGGTGGATCTTTAGCACTGGCTCGAAAATAGGTAATGGAAAAGTGAAGGTGAAGGGAGCAGCTCCTGAGAGACATTGGCTCCAGTTCCCGTTGGCTACCACCTCATACTGTGGGCTCAGTCTGACTCTGCCCCTAAGATATTTGAATAAGCCTCACACAGGGTGTCAGGTGAAACAAAACAGCCAGTAACCATGGGAGATTCTGGGTAGTGTTCATTTGTGGTGCCATGGGTGGAGAGAATGTGAATGTTTTCTTATTTGTTACTCTGTATGTTATTAAAATAATCATCACTGCCTCATGGAAAGACCCCGAAAAACTTTCAATGAAATGATGTTCTGAAACAAGGTTCGTTGTGAGCTGGGGAGCTGGGTTGTGGGTCAAGTGCTGGGTGAGCAAACATAGGGAAGCACGTTTGGAAGCCCAGCACCCACAAAAGAGCAGGACATAGCTGCACTAGTAGGATGCAGATCCCTTGAGCTCACAGGCGCCTAGTCTAGCTGGATTGCACCACTCCAGGTTCAGTGAGAGACCACCTCTTTATCTCTCTGTCTCTCTCACACACGTGCACAGAGAAGAAGAGGAGGAGATCAGGAGCAGGGGGTCAAGCTTTATGGTTCCTGCCTGAATGTATCTTCAGAATCCTGGGGCTTACCATGAGGGTGTTGGAACAGAAAGAAGCTGTGTTTATCCCTTATTTGGTCTAATTTGCTGAGATCTTTTTTAGGGGGGAGGGGTCATATATGTCCATTTCATAAACTGCTCAGCATCATATCAGCAACACTTGGTTCTTCAACGCCAAGAGCAAATCCTTAGAAGTTACTGGCCCCCAACCAAAAGCCTTGCATCCTTCACCACCCATGGCAGGACATTTTCTAGATGTCTGGAAGGCCCCTCTTACCTTCCCTGTGCTTAGCGGCCACTGTGCTTTCTTCCTCAGAGCCAGGAAGTGGATACCCATCCAGAGGTGTCCATGCCCTCTTGGTATGCCTCAGGATCCCTCTCTTGCTCTTTTCCAGACCTGCTCTGGGGGTGTCAGATCCTTGTGATTTCTCCATCATCATGAGGGTGAATCTGCAACCTGACTGAAACCACACAAGAAGACAAATCAAAGACAAGAGTTCAATGTTGAGGCTTGACTCAGCCCGACAGAGGATTCTTAGAAGCAATGGAGTCATCTGGAGTCAATGTCTCACCGAGACAGGCTCACCTACCCAAGCAGAATTCCTGCTGATTTTTGGCAGAAGAGTTTCCTCTCCGTGGACAGTCAGAGCAGGAGTTGACTTGGCATTGCTCAGAATAAGGCCACATCCACACTGATGAATTCAATGTTGTGTTCAGAGATGTGAATAGAGGACAGAGAAATAGAATGTTGACACCAACCTTACTTATGTCATGCTAGTCTCTGAGCCTTGAGCACATATTAGGTGTTAAAAAAACATGTTAATCTGTGATAACAAAGGTCAGGTTCAAGCCCACCCTTTCTGCCTAAGTCATTGCCATAATATATGCTTCAATTAGCATTAGATTAGTCTTCAAATTCAGAGAAATGGCTGAAGAGTCAGACTTCAGTAATATTCCTGGCACCCTGGAATTGGTTAATGATCGCTAATCACTTGACGCATAAGCTGCCCTTTGCATTAGGAGTTTGATAAGGGCAAACATTCAGATTCACTGCAAATATCTGGTTATTCTCTGTTAAGTCCAGAGGAGCACTCTATATGTAATTGTCAGTAACATGCTTTATCTATTTAAATTGTGCCACTCAGATGAAGTACATTTACTAGTACAGTTGTAAATTTACTGTAAAAATGACTGACACTTATGATAATTATTAATTTTACATTATGAATCTAAAGACCAAGAAATTTAAAATAGTTAAAAATAACTCCCCCGTGGCGAACATTTTATTTGGGAATGTTAGCCTTAGGGTATCCTGTGTACCAAATTAAAAAGAAATGACAAAAATGCAAGGCATGAGTAACACAAATCAGACTGCATTTCAAACTCTATTTGTTATATTATGTGCCAGATTTGAGAACACTGGGGAAAGTAACCCCATGGTTGGCATTAAAAGCATAGTTATTTGATTTCCCACAGGTTTTGACTCTTTCAGATTTAAAGAAAAAACAGTCTTAGGCAGCACCTTGAATCCTGTGGGTATGAAGGATGACCAGAGTTATCAACTTTGACAATGCAAAATTTCACAAGAAGTAAAATTCCAAGATTCTGCTCAAAGGACATCCTGAGATGTGACACTTATTGGAGAACCATAAGGTTTTAAAACCAGATGTGTCACAAACCAAGAAGGTTCCTCAAACCACACCATCTCTTTCCTGGTCTCAGGTGGAGAGGTGTCCCTAGGTACTGTGGAGATTCTGCAGGGAGGGGCAGCTGCTTGGTAAAGCAGCTGACTGTGTTCTGAGCAGAGATTTCACATATCAAACAAGCCACTGCTTTTTGGGAAGCACTGAAGAATTGCTTCATTTTAGATAGAAATGTCATTTTAGTTTTATGTCTCAAACTTCCACCCTGCAACAGCAAATTTTACCTCAGCCACCAGTTTCACTCATCCTTTAAAGACTGTCTCTCTGCCATGTTGGTTGCCCTTCCTACAGATTAGGGAAAAAGTCTGCAAAGAAAGTGGAAACCTTGCTACAGGCAGGGATCAGGGACTTGTTAGTAAATAAAGTCCCTTGTTCACTGTGCCTTAATGTGCACCTTCTGTTTAGTAGCCAAGTGCTGTTTGAATGGCCATCATTGACACCTATTCACTGGACAATCAGAGCACTTCTTTAGATAAGGACATAAATCAACCAAATAATAGCCTTGAATTCTTCCTTGGTAGCCAGGGCAGATGATGTGTCGCATGAGCCCTGCTGCCTGTCCTAGGGAACCCCTTTGTTTCCAGGAACATTTGAAACCCAATGCTGGCCAGTTTCGGTTGACTGTACGAGGAAGCCCAAGCCTGAATTATGTTGTTCCCAGAATCTGAAACATCCAGTTGTTTCTCTCCCCAAATCCTTCTATTTTAACGACCATGTCATTTTCCCTGTGTATTTAAAGAGATCCACTAATGTGGATGTTTGTTTACATCGTGTTTAATGCAAAACTATGTGTGCCAAATCTTCACTTTATGTAAACAAAAAGCTAATAAGTTGAAAAAAGAAAACACAAACGTAACCAAAACATTACCCAAATTTCAGAATGTTGAAGACTATCAAAAGGAGAAAACAATTGATTCACACAGCGATTCTATTTGATTTTTCTTTAGTTTGAGCAACCTCAACCCAACTGTTCCCTTCCACATCATCCCATAGCAATGTCAAGAATAATGAAACTCTCATGTAGTGAGAGTCATCACAGGCTTGGCCAAGAGGGCTGTATTACACAATGGACTTCAGAGCAACACATGGATCAGGGCAAAATATATTGAGAAAGGAACCAGGGAGTTTGGGCAGCATTCTTGCTGTCTGTTCTGCTTGTTTGACTTTTTCTTCTGCATTTATTTATTTACTTTGTGTGTGTGCACCAGCCAAGGAAAAATTAGGAGTTCAGAGGTCTGTTCTCTCCTTCCACCATCTGATTGAACTCAGATCATCAGGCTTCATAACAAGTTGTCTACTGAGTCACCTGTCTTACCCAATCCCATTCTTGGTTCTTATGTAGTTCTTATGACAGGTCAGATGGCCCTGACTTTCATCTCAGCTCTGTTGCCTTCTGAACTTTAAAAGAATTACCAAACTCTTCTTATACCACATCCCCTCACATTTGGAATAGGTGTAAAATAACTACTTCATAGGGAATATTAATGGGAAATCTATTGAAAATGACCACACATTTGCCAACTCTGCCTTCTCCTTTATGTCTTTTTATCACCGTTATCCTCTCAAGGACTGCCAAGTGAAGGGAACAAATCTCCAATTGTTCTAGTTTTGGTGCTGTGCTAACTAATTTTATGTCAACTTGACACAAGCTAGAGTCATCTGGGAAGTGAAAAGCTCAACTGAGAAAATGCCCCCATCGAATTGGCCTAAGGAAAAGTCTGTGAGACATTTTTTTAAATTAATGAATGACCCATTGTGAGTGGTACCATACCTAGGTTGGCAATCCTGGTTTCTATAAGAAAGTAGACTAAGCAAGTCATGAAGAGCAAAGCAGTAAGCAACACTCCTCCATGGCCTCTGCATGAGCTCCTGCCTCCAAGTTCCTGTTCTGTTTGGGTTTCTACTTTGACTTCCTAATCATGATGGACTATGATGAGGAAGTGAATGTGAAATGAACCCTTTCCTTCCCAAGCTGCTTTGGTTATTTTGTCTTATCACAGCAACAGAAACTCTAAGACAATTTCTACTGATGTGATAACATATCCTGACAAAAATGCAACTTAGGGAAAGAAAGGGCTTCATTTCATCTTAAAGTTCTATGATCTAGATCATCAATTGAGGGGAAGTTGATGTAAAAACTTGATCCATAGTCAAGATCAGAAACAAATGTGTTGATGCTGCTTGCTTATAGCTTTTCCTTATCCTATATAGTTCAGGGTGCTCTGTCTAGGTAAATTGATACCCAGGATGAGATGATCCCTTTATATCATAAAAAATACAGGGAATCACCTGCAGGACATGCTCACAAACAAGTCTGATAAAGACAATTACTCAAGCAAGGCTCTCTTCCCCTGTGTTCTAGGTTGTATAGAGTTGACATTTGAGAAACCATTATACCAATCAATACAAGAGTTCCCTTGGTAGAAAACTGAATTGACAATCTTAGTTTGTGGATGACCTGTGTTGGCTCTAAATCACTCAATCTGGATAACAGAAATATTTGGAAGTGTAAGAAAACAGTATTTCTACAACTGTGGGTATGTAGAGTCCCTGGGGCATGCTACAGGCTTTTAGCAGGGTCTTGAAACTTCTTCAAATGTGTACTTGATCTCCAATTTCTACAATTTGTCACCCTTCTTAGTAGGCTCTGTGAACAATAAGGTAACTACATAAAAGAAGAACAACCCTGACAGAGTCTGCGTCCACATGGATCTCTTCAACCACCTCCTCGAGTCCCTTCTCATGGTCGTTATCAGAGCTGTTCTTCAGCCCTTCATAAAACCTCCAATATCATCCACACTTCCCTTCTTTCCTCTACCCTCTTCAAACACTGACCACCTGCCCCCACTAGCAGTAGCTCTTAGGAAAGGTTACTTGAGATGACACAATGTCTCGTAGGACCTGCCTCTTTTCAGGCATTGCTTACAGAAGCACATAAAACAAACTTCTAGGCTCATGCTCTCAAAAAGATTATCAATAAAATCCTCAAGTTACTCAGTTCAGTACCAAGCCTAAGACTCCAATTCTTTGGAAACTGAAACTTTAAGAGGACTAGAAAATGTGCATCATCCCACTGTGCCCCGGAGTCACATTCCTGTGGGTGGCATTGCTCTCCTTCCCAACCTTCTACCTCTCCTGGACTCTCCTAATCCCAAGGACTAGCATAACACTACCCACTGCCCCCTGCATGTTAACTTCATCACTGAATATCCTTTCGTCTCCCTTATCTAACTGAAACCCAGATGTGCTTTCCTCTGACAGTCTCTCAAGCCAAGACTTCTGCCCTTCCTGCTGTACAATTTGAACTATATTTTGGGGGTGATATAAATTTATTTTGTACTCATCTTTCTGCTTTGTGCTCTTGCTTTCTCTGTACATGCCATCAGACTATGGCGTCATAAATATCCACTGCATTCACCCTCATCTACTACCAATAATAGAAGGAATTTCTTGTCCTCTTTCTGGAAGATTTCATTATCAATGTAGATGACCCACTAACACTCAACCCCTGGGTCCATTACATGTTCACTTCTAATATTTCTTTCTACACAATTCCCACGGGCATGCCTTAGTCATCACTAGGCAATGGCCTTCCAAATCCCAGTTTAAGCATCTTCTATTGCTTCTATTTTATCCAGAATTTCCTTGGACACCATCTTTGTCCTTCCTTTTAGGTCCTTATTCAACTTTACTTCTGTAGAACAGAGTGATGATTCCCAAACTCAAATTTCCAAATCTTGTCTGCTCTCTGTACTTCAGATCATGGTGTTACCATTTATTTTACATTTCCACGTGGATATTTATAGAAAAACTTGGTGTGTGCCACACTGAATTCTGCATTGTGCTCTTGGTTTCATCTTACCCCCAAATGTATCTTACACTCTTTTAGCATTCTTCATCTCAACAAATTGCAGATACCTGCTCAGTCAAGAATCTACAAGCCTTCCCTGATTCCTATACTCCTTCCATCTCTCACGTTGATCTTAAAA